TAGTTCCACCTTCCGACGAGTTGGTTGTTTTTCCAACACTGCGACCGCTTCGGAACAAACCCGCTTTGTTTGTCAAGCCGATGTGGCTTTAACCAAAGTAAAAGCTCATGGCAAACCGTGTCGGGTTGAAGCCAGTGAGCACAGCTGCAGCACAATGAAACGAACCCGTCAAGACGGAGATTCTCAAACTTACAACGAAGTGATACCGCATAAAATAGCCCGTTCGCAGTGCATACGCCAAGACACTTTACTCACACCCCGAGAATGTAAGACCAGAAAAGGAAGAGAAAGAGAGACGCTGGTGCTGGAAGGACATACCGATGGGGAAGGCCAGCCAGATGGCACCGATCGGGTACAAGAAGAAGGTGGTGCGCTCCAGGAACGGCAGGACTGCGGGACAAACATATCGTTAAGAAAGAGGGCAGAAGCAATAACGAATCTTTTGATAACTGCACGTCAGTCGTCACATCACACCATCGCTATACATCTACGTGCACCTACATCCTCCATCTATGTCAAGGAGAGCGCGCAACAAACGCAACCCGTCTGCTGGCACAACTATCACTTGTAATCGCTGTCATCTGGTGGGAATGTGTTGCACATTAGGCCAGGACTTCTAGTCCGTCAAAGAACCGGCGCATCCTGAACAGGTCTCAATTTCCTGCCAACCTCTAACAGGGAGAGGCGGTGGGCGCTGACCATCATATCCCAAGAAGTTGACGTAGTGGTAGTGGCTCAGGGCTGCCGCATACAGCGCCGACGAGAGCAGCGCGGGCAAGAAGCCATGCGCGAGCAGGAGCGGGGACAGGAAGTACTGCACCACTGCACACATTGACACGGGACGGGGGGTCAGCGAAGGCGCCAGCAGCGAGTATCTGGGGCGTCAGCATCGGGCAGTGCTCACAGCGATGCAGTGAAGAGCGGGCCTCAAGGGAATGGCCCCAATTCTTCTCATCGCGTTAACTAAGAGCATGTCGACGAAGAAATGTGTTCAAGAGCACAAACAAAATGAAAGCGCAAAGCCGGGATGCTCATGCTCCCCACCCATACCCACCGCAAATCTGCAAAGTAACCCTACCGGTCCTCCAGGAGCTCTCGTCGGTCAGATGCCCTCGTTAACATACAAATGACAACTATTGTGCCAGGGCCCTGATGGGACCCCCCAGGACAGGCAGTGGCTCGGGGTCCCGCGGTGAAAGAACACAAGATCACTAGAATACGGAAAAACGGAAAGCAGCAGGGGAGGCGGGACAGGCGACCTACCGTACAGCTGGACGAAGAGCGGGAAGTAGGAGTTGCAGTGGACGTCAAAGGCATACAGCCTGCAGGAGAAGAGGGATCAATACGAGCGCAATGATGTCCAACTCAGGAGAGACATGGGGGCTGCCGAGAGTAGGGTGGAACTGTGAGCCAGAAGGGGTACCAAAGAGGGCCAGCAAAAGCTTCGTCCGTGGCAGTAAGAAAGATCGGTTGACTTGATCAATCAAGACCACCAAGGCAGGCTGTGCCAGACAAGCGCCGCAATGAAGTGACCGACTAGCATCCAGGCAAGCCTGCATCCAAAGAGCCAGGTGACCCTTCTTCAAAAGTTTCAATCGAAGCGGAGCGGAGGCGTGTGGCTCACCACTCGACGCGTTGCTCTACCACGTGCGTGTGCGCCGCCGCCTCTTCCCGCAAGTACTGGTTGGCCAGGAACCTGCGCAGCCAGGACAGACACCGGCCATGTTGAGGCACGGCGGTGGGGACGCAGACTGAGGGACACAGAGAAACTTGAGAAAGATTGGCAACCGAGACCAGATAACTGCAAAGGAAAGGGGCAGAGGTGGCGCACATGGCGCAGGGTGTCTCACCAGCAGGCTGTGGCCACGATGATGCCAAAGAGGAGGAAGTCCACAAACACCACCGAGACAATAGTCACAGCCGCCTGCGCGGGGCTGCTGCCATAGCTGCAAGGAAAGCGGGGGAGTCAGTGGAGCAGGATGGCATGCAGGTTGACTCAAAGGGAAACAGTACTCAGATCTCAAATCGCACCCTGCTTTGAGCTTGATGGGACAGCGATGAACATGAGTGGACAAAGATCAGAGAGTGAGAGAGTGGGCCGTCAGTTGCAGAAATGGTGGATGATTGGTCAAGCTGTTTGGACTGAAGCCACGTACGCTGCGCAGAAGGCACCCGCAGCGACAGCGAGCAGCAGGCAGCAGATCACTACAAACGCAGGGTCGTCGCGCGCCCACTGATTCTTCGTCTCTGCAAAACAGAGGTCCATGTCAAGGTGGCGTGACCAGGACGGAGATCCAGGAAGCCTACTCAACGAATCCAGAGGGCAAAAAGTTGATGGTTCCCAGGGCAGCGGCAACAGAGAACGCATTCTGCAATGGAAATGGCACCTCGCTGCAAATATAGAAGAAGAGACGTGGCAGTGGAAGAGACGCCAGGTGGCGCGCGGAAGAACTTACGCTTGTGGTATTTTGTATGTTGGTAGCTGCACAAAATAGACGACCAATCAGCGCATTATACTTTCACTCTGTCAGATCCCCTGGAATCTGATTGGAACCTAACCAGTACGACCACTAGAGGCAAACAGGCCAAGCAGATAGAACCGGTCTCACGGGGGCTTCAAAGGGGGATCACTTACACAATTTTTGGCGATATGCACAGGTGCAGCATTTGCCAGAAGGTATACTCAATGTCCATCTGCCGCCACTGCAGCAACGGGCACACGCGCGCTGGGTCAGCACAACTGATGCAGAAGTGTACACAGATACAAGCACAGCACGCCAGCGTTTGCGACATGCATGTGGGGCCCCAACAAACAAACTACCTGACCGCAACAGGTGGCCACTGATCGCTTGGCTGGAGGTCTTCAATTTGAACCTTTCCACCAGCGAAGGGGCGGCTCTACAGCGCAGCGGGGCCTAGTTGCTGAGAGGGGCAGGGGGCTACTGCACAGCGGAATGTTGAGCCACAGTCGTAACCGTACGTACACATGCTCCTATTTTCTTGTTCAGATTCGGTGTAACATCTCACAAGTAAAGGCTTACTTTGACAATTCTTCGCAGGTACTGAGGCAAAAACGAGTAACTCCGATAGCCGCTACTCCTGGCCCCCTTGGCGCTGCCCTTGCTGGTGGTGGGCAACATCCCGTCAGAAGGAAAACCGCCGAGGCTGGGCCCCCGCCGCTCCCGGGCTTTCAAACTGCCTAGGTCCTTTTCAATTGAAACAATGGAGTTGAGGTTGGCAATACTGCTTGTCATGACTCCCCTTCATGCTTTGCTCTGCATCAGCGGCCAAACGTAACAATTGCAGCATGCCGTGCCCGTGGTCAGCAGAGCATGCAGCCTGTGTAACCTTCGGTACAAATCCAGCGCCTAATAGATCAAACGTGCACCTCAATAGAAACAGCTCTCAACGGGAAGCCCGCTCTCAATGCCCGTTCAAGTTCAGAATCTCAAAACCCCAGCGAGTGGAGGAGCTGCCTTGCAAGGTTGTCTACCTAATTACAATACCTGAGCTCCCTGCCCGTGAGCTCCTACACCCCTTAGTCTCATCCACTAGCGGCTAGCCCTATACCGTAGCCTCAGTAGGGGCGTGATTGCACCAGCGCGAGGTTCCGTCTGATCAGCAGTGACACACACACACGAGCCCGGTATAAATGGGTCGGCAAAGCCAACAGTCCGAAAATATACAAGTCGAGCCTCGATCTCGGTCTCTAGGATCCTCCTACCCTAGAAAGAGTATGCAAGTCTGCACTGCGTCCTGGACTACCTGAGCTCTGAGGCCTACCGACCTCTCAATCGCACGGGCCGCTCTATGGTGAACTGCCCGGGCCTGGCTACGCTGGAGGCTAACCGAAACTCGCTGATTGACCGGAGATCACAGCTTGAACTTGAGCCTGAGGTTGAAGCTCCGTCGAGTCTGCAGTTGTAGGATACAGCGTCCGTTTAGAACTGGTGTCATAGTTGACAAGCCGCTACAGAGAAGTTTAGGCTACAGCCTGAGCCGTGACTCCTGAAGGCTGAGCCTTGAGGTACCTTTCTGAGGCAAGTGCCCGAATCAGCCGTGCTAGCATTTGCGTACCGGTATTCCAAAGTTCCACCAAAGTACCGATTCTTGACTCTTCCCGCACCACAGGTGCTGTGTACAGGACCTCTCCCCAGCGGCTTCCCCTTCCTCTTTCCTGCTGGTGCCGGTGGTAGCCATGGCGTCCACTTTCAGGGTGAGCGACCCTGGTCTGGCCCGGTAAAGGAATCAATAGTGGGCAACAACAGTCGGCGGTTGGGTAGTTGCGATCCCCACGGCTGAACAAGTCGGTCGCTTGGCGGGCTCTGAAGAAGCCGCTGGTTGTTCCGGCAGGCATGTTTGAATAACCTGTGTGAGAGCAGCCTGGTTCAAATTTACCTGCGTGTCTAGGCGCACTGGCCACTCGGCTGCTTGCTTGCTGATGCGGGGGCTGTTTCGGGTGTGTGCAGTTCCACCAGTACCAGGTCGTGGGGCGGGCCAACCCCAAGTCGGAGGAGGATGTGCCCAAGGTGTACCGCATGAAGCTGTGGTCCACCGATGAAGTGCGCGCCAAGAGCAAGTTCTGGTGAGGGCCTCCAGCGCAACCCGCACGGTCCTGTTGGTCTGCTCTAGAGTCCCAGCACAATAAGACGGATAAGGGGGTCCGTCCCTTGGGAGAGCTGTTAGGAAAGTATGCAGAAGCCTGTTAGCCGAGTAAGGCCTGGCTTCTGTGTCGACAGTTGTGATTTTGCCACAGAATCCCTGTCTTAAATACAACAAGGTTTTTCCCAATACAGACTGTCTCATCATAAATGCAATAAGCAGGATACTGTGGGCCAGGAAGGTGTGTGAAGGGGCAAAGGTCCTTGCGTGGAAGGGCTAGGCACAGAGTTGGGCAATTAATGACGGCTCCCTTGTCTGGCATCAATGTAGCTGATAACGGTGTCTGCGGGCTCTCCGGTAATGGTATCCAGCCAGGGGCCTGTCCCTGCGCAATCATTTTTGGGTCCACAATGCGCTGCTTGTCGAGGCGGCTTGGCAGTGGGGCGTCTCCTCTTTCTGTGAGGGTGTGTGACCCTGATCCCCTGCAATTGTGTCTGGTCAGGTACTTCTTGAGGAAGTTGAAGAAGGTGAAGAAGTCCCACGGCCAGATTCTCTCCATCAACGAGGTGAGCAGGGAGCTTATTACAGTGTCAAGCTGGGGCTCAAGCTGACACTGTAAGATTCATGTGCATGTCAACCTGCGAGATTGCAGTGATCGCAGCGATTCTGCGGGGTAGAGCCGAAGGCTGTGATGACGCAAGATGGACGTTGGGTGTGGGTTGTTGGACTGGCCAATCTTAGTGGTAGAGAGGGGTGAAGCAATGTCCGTGGACAGCTCAACGGTGGGCCCCTCCAGAAGCAGTGAGGGCAGGCTTGTCCCGGAAGCGGCCAGGGCCGCTCTTGTCCAAAGTCCATCTCTACGGCCCGCTGGCAGCTCAAGAAGCACTCTTTGCAATACCCTCAGCGCAATTTCTGCGCCCGCTTACGGGTGTGCGTCAGAGGCAACAGTTGCCACAACAGCACTGCCGCAATTGCGCACTGGGCAGTGCGCGCCCGCAGTCGAGGGGGTTGCCCGGCGAGGGTGGAGAGGCCAAGTGCTGACGGTGTTGTTCGGGGCTGGTGCAGATCTTTGAGAAGAAGCCGACGACGATCAAGAACTTCGGGCTGTGGATCCGGCACCAGAGCCGCAGCGGGTACCACAACATGTACAAGGAGTACCGCGACGTCACGCTCAACGGCGCCGTCGAGCAAATGTACTCCGAGATGGCCTCGCGCCACCGCGTGCGCTTCTCCTGCATCCAGGTACGGCGCACTGAATGTTTGAGAAGGAAAGGCGGGCTGGCAGTGCCGGCAGTATCGAGCTCCTTATTCGTCATTGTACGCTGGCAGACTCAGCTTGTCAGGGTGTACTGGACAGGTCCTACAGAATAGTTGCCTGGTTTGCCCCTGGACAAGCCTTGCTGGCGATGGTCCAGCTTGGTGTTTGGCACCCTGGTGACACTGCGGCAGCTCTTCCCTACAGCGAATGAGCGGTTGCTCAAAGCTCTTCTTGCAATCAGTCGCATGCCACCTGGAGGGACAGACACTCTGCCGGAGTGGGGATTACTAGTTGGTTTCAGGGGGAGTTCTTCCAGGAAGGCTGTCTAGCAATCATAAAAGGTGTTACCTTGGCATCATCGGCCGTGCCGCTGGCTTCATTGGTCCCTGGCGGATTAGAGCGGGACAGTTAGGGGGCAGGTCGTGTGCTTGCCCCCGCCAGTGCTTGACCAGTGGCGCGGGTGGTGCGTGTGCAGATCATCAAGACGGCGACCATCCCGGTGTCCCTGTGCAAGCGCGTGAGCACCACCCAGTTCCACGACAGCAAGATCAAGTTCCCCCTCACCTACCGCTTGATCCGCCCCTCAAGCAGGAAGCTCAAGACAACGTACAAGGCAAAGAGGCCGACCACGTTCATCTAAGCTGGTTGGACAGACCATGTTTGGTGACTTTGAACGGTTGCTTGTCTTTCATAATCTTCAGAAGCCATCCAACCGCTGTAATGACCATGTTGAGCATGTGGATGCACGTTGATGAGCCGCCAGCTTCCAAGCGACCACCGGTGGGTCCCAATTGACCGTCGATGACAAGGGCTAATAGGTAACGAGGTAAAGGTGAAGCCCATGCATGTGCAAGCGTATACACACAACCAAGCATGTGCAGTCACCTAGAGCCTACATTCGTGTCAATTCTTGCTTTGGTATATGATGGTGACCCCTGCATTATATGTCAGATTTCAAATCTGATTGATTCGCGTTGGTTTGGAGCTGCGATCGGTGCGGTTGACGATTGTCTCTATTTGAAAATCTCCATCATGCAAAGCTTGGGCAAGTGCTTTATGGTGCACCCCTAGCACTTTTTGCAAGATATTGATTTTTCATGGACGAGTCTAAGTCAGCAAATTTGAAAGTATATATTTGTCGGTTATTTGGGCGTGTTTAGTGGAGTGCACGTCTGCTGAATACTGCGCATAAACTCGATCCCACGAGTGGTCGGTTTCAAAGAGCATGTTTTGCTACACAATCAGGGTGCCGCGTTCGGCGCGCATACGCACTGAGTACATTGCAGCATGCTAATCATGGACACAGCCTATTCCGCGCAGTTGCATGTGTCGGAGCACCAAGTATCAGATGCCTGGTGCAACTTACATGCCGTGTTGGTCATGAGTCATGACCTAGCTGTGAGTGCAAGAGCTAGCTGCTTATTCTGTCTATCAGGTTTACTAGTGCTTGGAAGCTTGGCTGCATGCAGAAACTGCTATATAGCACCGTCCCAGATTCTACATTTGTCCAGGCACTCACAGTAACCTGCGCAATCGAATGCACGTCCCCATGTAACAGCGCAAGACAATGTCAGATTCGTGCGTATAATTGCACTGGGCAGTGCTGCAGGTGCCAATGACCCCAAGCTTACGCCTCAGAAGAACACCACCAAGCATGGCTTGATGGCCCAGATTGTTTGGAAGGATGGAAGACTGCGTCGCTTACGCACAGCAAAATACGATTCTGTAATCGTCGTTCTGGAAGTCATCGATTGATAGACTTCTCGACTCCCCTGAAAAGGAAACACTCTTTTCATGCTGCCGCTTGCGCCTGTCAAATTGGCGTTGCGGGCACTTCTGATGATTATTCGACTCCTCTCTTTCAACGCGGAAAGGCCGCTTGTCTCGTTCGAAACCTTTTGAGGTCTGTGCTGGCTGGCACATCGAGGGCTGCTTCTCGACGTGCAAGGTCACCAAGTGCCAACGCTTTGAACCACCGGCCGTGGGCGTCACGAGCCCATTCGTTGGAACTTCTTTCGAGTTCCGCCTCGACACGGTACCTCTTTTCGGTCGTCTGCGTCGGTTTGTGATCAACCGTAGTTGGTCGACGTTCGTTGCGTGGCTATGTACTTTTGTGAGTAGGGGCTGACGTACCTGCAGAGACGGAGGCAGAAACTGATCAGGCACTTGCGGCGTTCACGGCTGGATCGTAAGGCACACAGTCACGCTCAGGCATCATAAGTAAGAGGACCATCTAGCTGATCACGAATGTGCGGGGCCCGGGCTCGCATGTGTTCTTCAAATGCACCCCCCCTGCACGCGGGTCGCCTCACTTGAGGTGGTCGCCTTTCCTCTGCGTGGCTGCCCCGGTCTTGGCGGCGTGCGGCGCCTCCGAGACGCGCGGCCCCTTGTCGGGCGGCAGCCCGGGGGCTTTCGCGGCGCCGCCCTTGCCCAGCTTGGACCCTTTCAACTGCGACTGCTGCAACGCACAAAGGACACAACACGTCAACGGGCGTGCCAGGCAGATTGCTCAACGCAGCCGCGGCGTCGTTCTGCTTGTTTTGGCTTCCTATTGATTCTGTGTTTCAGGCATCCCGACTGACTCTTTCTTTAATCCGCTTTCATCATACAGAGGAATCGCATCAACAGTACTCTGCGCGATGCAGAACAGCCAATTTACGCGTAGGCTCCGGTTGCGTCTTTCGCCTCACCCGCTGCTGCCCCGCGTTGTTGTAGCCGTGCCCGCCCTTGCCGCTCTTCATGGGCAGGCTGGCCAGCGTGTAGCTGTTCCGGATCGGCGGCAGCCCCTTCCCCCCTGCCGCCTCCTCGCCCTCTCGGCCCTCCTCCCGCCCGTCCCCTCCCCGGTGGCTCGCCCCGGCCGCGTACCCGTGCGCGGTGCTGTGCATGGACGGCAGGCTGCTCGCCGCGCTCGCCTCCTCGTGCAGCCGGTGGCTGTGCCCCGCCTCGTTCTCCTTGTCGTCCTGCACGCACCCCCACACCACACCGCTCACGCCAGGCTCTGTCGAGCGCCCCACGGTCGCTTCTCAGGGCCGCATGTCACAAGCAAAAGTGTCCCAACGTGTTGCAACAAAGAACCAGGCTGCGACCTACTGAGTAACTATGACAGCTTCCCTGTTTTGGAAGCAACAACCAGATTGAGGGGCTCGTTGGACGCACCTCCCGCGCTTTGGCGATGCTGGGCAGCTGCGTGCCCCCCGCCGCGCCCCCCTCCCCTAGTTGGCTGGCCCGGCCACTCTTGGCCGCGTCCTTGCCCTTGCGTCGCGCCTCCGGCAGAGCGTCCTCCGGGCCGGGGAACCTGCACGCCCAGCAGCGCCGCGATCGGTGCCAAGACGACAAGCGGGACGACGACTGTGCCGGTGTGGGTGTCACTCAATCGAAGACAAAGTCTTTGACGTGTTCAATTTACTGCCAAGCTGATTGGCAAGCTTCTGCCAGTACCGTTCCTCTTCTGAATCAGAAGCCGACGCAGGTAGAAGTTTTCTTCCATTCTGTACACATCGTGGAGCATGACCTGCTTCAAGACATGCTCGCCCTGACACCCCGAGAAGCGCATCTGGGATGAATTGAGTGGCCGCCCCGATGTACTCTTCCATCCATCAACATATCCGCAGGCTCCCAAGTCACTGCGGAAGGGCGTTGCGCAGTGCTCGGCGCGTGGGCGTCACCTGGGGGAGGGCTGGCTGCTGAGCGCGGCGTCGTGGGCTGGCTTGTCGTGCTTCTCCTTCTCGCGGATCTCCCGGAAGTACGGGTGCCGCAGCGCCTGCTTCGCCGACAGCCTGCACAGAACAGCCACGCCGTCACGGCCCGCACACCGCGCCTGATGCGCGCGCACGGAACACGCCAGTGCCGGAAGGACGAGGCAACGGTAGACGAAAAAGTAGGGGAGCAAGAGGCAGCCGAGCAGCCCCAAGCACTGCCAAGAGCCCGGGGCACAGAGGAAGAGCCAGCCAGGCCGTGACTGGGAGCCATTCATCTCGGACTCTCTTGCGCCTGAAGCAGCATTTCTGAGAACCTAGATGCTGGACACGAGGAGAGCGAGGGCGCGGCGCAGCGCCGAGCCTGCTTTTCGGCCCGCGCACCTGTCATCGGGGTTGTACGCGAGCAGCTTGCAGATGAGCTCGACGCAGTCGGGCGGGGCGTGCGGGATGAGCTTCTCGATGCCGGAGCCCTCCTTGGGCGGGAAGTCCAGGTCCAGGTGGTGGCTCCTGCAGCCAGCGCCACACGTGCACGCTCAAACGAGACCTGACTAACACATCCTACGTCCCGGACACTCGCTTTGCGACCGCGTGCTCAGTCGCATCTCTACGACATGCCCGTCAAACTCTGCCGCCTCCTGACCTTCTCAACCTTCCGCACGCTGACTCCATTGACTTCTGTAGGACGGGCTCCAGAGGGCCCCGCTTTGCAGGTGAGGCCTCACAGGCGACGGCCAGGGGAACTCGCGCGCTCACCCTAGTTTCTTCATCTTGTCGAGGAGCTCGGGCGGCGGCGTGCCGACGATGTTGTGGATCTTCTGCACCTGGTCCAGCTCGTTGGTGCCGGGGAAGAGCGGGAAGAGCGACACGATCTCGAAGAAGACGCAGCCGACGCCCCACATGTCCATCTTGTACGTGTAGTAGCCGTCCGTGAGCAGGCACTCGGGCGCGCGGTACCAGCGCGTGGAGATGTACTCGGTGTAGGGCGGCGCGCTGTAGATGCCGCGGCAGCTGCCGAAGTCGGCGAGCTTGAGGCAGTCGTCCATGATGAGGATGTTCTCGGGCTTGATGTCGCGGTGGAAGATGCCGTTGCGGTGCATGTGGTCCATCGCCTTCACCAGCTGCCACATGTAGTGCTTCACCCGCTCCTCGCCCAGGTAGTGCCGCCGCCCGCGGATCAGCTCGTAGATGTTCATGTCCATCAGCTCGAACACCAGCGCCAGCCGCCCCGTCGGCTGGTCGCTGCACGCGCACCGCAAACGCACCGCTCACGGACCCGGTCCAGCAGAATCTACTCGTTTGAGAAACATCACCGCAAATGCATTGGAATATACGTGAGCATGTGACTGGATGCACGTTGCTAGGGCTACCAGGTGGAAAAGGTAGGGGGTGGGGCCTCACTAGAGCACCTCGAGCAACTTGACGATGTTGGGGTGGGGGGACAGCCGCCGCAGCGCCTGGATCTCGCGCAGGTTGTTCACCTGGGGCAACGCCGCACAGCGTCAGCCATACCCGCCAACAGGATGAGCGCCACAACAGGAAAGATGTGATGCGGCAGTGTGAACTGACAGAGCCTTGGACTTGAGACTCTGGTGGTGCCACCAAAAAGCAGAGACCCGACCTTTCGGCCGTTGAGCAGTGAGCAGTCATCAAATATGCGTAAGGTTGACTCAGAGCAGTGACAAGCATGCCGGCTACGAGAAGTTACCCTCAGGCTTCGGCGGAGCGCGGTGGTCTTATTACCTGCTCGAGGGAGTCGAAGTGGTTCTTCATGCACTTGATGGCGACATACTTGCTGTTCTTGATGCATTGCGCCTTGAGCACCTCCGAGAAGGTGCCCTCGCCCTTCTTGGCCACCAGCCGGTACTCTGCACAACCACCATACACGATGCAAGAGTGATACAACCGCAGCTAGAGCAGAAGCCAAACCAGCTTACCAAACAACCCAGGGGCAACCTTCGGTACAGGTTCCATGATGAATGAATGGGCTGCGGGCTCTCAAAGTTCATTTTGGATCCGATGTATCATGGCGGCTCTTGCCCTTCTCGAATTCATTACCCATCAGTTTGGTCACAGGGGCAGGACAAAGAAAGCACCAGTGATGGATGACTCGTGCCACGAGGGTGACATGATACTCTGAGTCAAGCTCCACGCATGTTCCCTGCACATCGGTTGAGGTCTGGCCGCAACCCTGGCACACTGGGATAAAAATTACAGACTCAGATGAAAATCATCAAAGATCCACTCACTGTGCATTTTGGTGGCCTCTTATTGCCCGCTGTCCTTGCTGTGTGCCCGGTGCTGACCACACTTGCTGGCTGTTGCTGCCCCCCTCTGCTCCTCCCCTGTTCTCTTTACTGCCATGTCACCGTCAGGCGCCAGCCGACAGGTGGCCCGCATGCACAGCCTCACAGCGTCTGTTCAGCCCTGTGCCAAGCATTCCACAGCCGTCTGCAATGCAGACCTGCCACGAGTCGTCCACACGCACTCCCGAGCTTCCTATGAGCTGCGGGCAGCTTGATTTGTTATCAAAGTCCGTTACTCCTCAATTTGGCAAGCATGCACTTAGTGCTGCAAGATTGGCAAGCTGATGTTTGTGCCGTCTTCTCCTAGCTGCTAAAAACTTGGACTGCACGCGAAAGGCCGGGTGCACCATCGAATCTACGGTTGCACAGCAGTCTGAGACCGGCCACCACCAGAAAGCGACCCACAGAGTAGGTGCTGGAAAGGGCCTAGAAGACGTGGCTGGGGCTGCAAGTGACCTTGCCCAGGATATGGAGCAAGCTCTTTTGAACTAGTGATTGTACGTTGCTAAACGTTGGACCAGTTGACTCCTTCTTGTCAGGCTTCAGAACATTCCAAAAGCTAGAAAACTGGAGACGATCCTCAATCAGCAGCAGCTAGAGTATGCTTCAGCTCCCATGAGCCCTCCTCAAACGAGCTCTAACAAGGAGTCCATATTCAATCCCCTGTGGATCAGTTACACAATAATTTGCCCAGCAACGTATCCTAGGCATAGTCAATCAGTCAATCAGATGATTACGCTTACATCTCTGCCACGACGCGCTCAGCATGCTCCGGGTTACAGCCTGCTCATTGTATCACATATAACTTGTTACCGTATTAGGCTACTGTAGGGCAGCTGCAGCCTGCTTCTCCCTTGTTTCCAGCAGTACCGTACTTAGATACTCATGAATCTATCTAATCATCTATTTGCACCACCTGCGTAGGTACTGTAGGTAGGTATGTGAGGTAGGTACCTATACGGCACTACTACTCAGATCCATAGGCAGGTACAAAAGGCCTTACAAGCTAGGAATTGAACAAACACTGCAAGGGCTGCTCTTGCGAACCCACCGAACGTATCATTTTAACGGTACCGTCTGCGGTACCCTACACTGCTACAGTAGTAGGTATACCGGTATTGGTACATTGGTAGGTAGTGATAGGAACGAGCAAGACCAGACCCACGGTCAACCCGTGCAACGGACGGCTTAGTGCTGGTGTGGCAAGGACAGCTTGAAGGTGCAGGATCGACGGTTACGGAAGGATCATTTGATTTTATCGAACGGCAATGCCTGAACCTCTCACGAGCCGGAGAGTACCGTCCGGACTAAGCTTCAGTAGTGACCGGGGTCCGCCGGTCCCAGTTTGATCGTACGCCGAGGCTCGATCGATGTGCCATCCATCGAACGGTCGCGATCGGCGAGTGACATCAGAAATCGTCAGCGTACCGGGGCACGTAGGTACGATACTTTGAGAGTTAGAGGTACCGCCGCAAGTGTATGACGTCACCGTCGGCATACTTTACCCGGTACAGTCAAATAATTGTAGATAGAGCCGTTTCAAGCCGTTCGATCATCCCCACTAAGGTTCCTTTGAACAATCTAAGGATCGTCGGATGGCAGGATGGCCTGTTCGGGGTTTGACTCATCAGGTGCCCGGTATGGCCCCAAAAGCATGCCTTAAATGCTCGGTAACGGTGGCAAAAAAGAAGAAGCAAATCCGATCGGATTGCTTGATTGCTTTGATTCGAACCGGAGACCTCGGACCTCTTGGCCAAGCTTAGGCCTCGCTTAGGCGAGCGCACTAGCCACCTGAATTACGGCGACTCGGCGGGCCCCCGATTTGCATGGTCTGGGAATATCGGTTCTATACCCGGACGCCCACTTTATATGCATTGTAACTTGACCACGTCAGAGACCTGGCAAGTCATGCAGTGGGTCGCCGAATCTTCGAATTGGCCGTTCGGATACCGCATTGGTTCCGACTTTTCGGACTATGGACTCTGCGATCGCGGAGTTGCCATCATCGACGGTCAGAGGAATTCCAAGATCAATATCATGACGTTGGGCTGACGGCTTGCAAACAATGGCTGCCAAGCTCAACGAGCTTCCTCTTACGATCGGACCTAGCAGCCGGCTGTCAGCTGCGGTATTCCTCAAGGTTTCCAAGATGCATACGAATGCAACTTTGGTAGCCGCTAATGCACTTATAAAGTAAGAGCTGAAGAACCAATTTAGAGCTTAGGTTCAGATCGGATGCAGATTTGCCCCTAGTGCTTGAAGGCCGTAAAGCGTACCGTTCAACCGTTTGAAGTTCAAACCCTTGTACCGCTCTATGTTTCACCTTGTAGCACGCATCGGGCCCGCCTTGCACAACGCAACCACGCCAAATTTTAACGTACGGTGAATTCTGCGCGGCGGGCGAATTTTGAGCCCCGCAGACTCGGAGAGGCTCAAAATGGCGATTTTTAGGGTTTTAGGAAATGGCCTAATTTAGGCAATTCTGCATGTAATTTGAATCTGAAAATTGGTATTTAGCCTTATCACGAGCAGTCTAACATCGTA